CACCATGCTTGCATGTTTTGACTTAGCTTTGTGAAGTTTTTAGTCATGTTTTAACGTGTTTAAGTTCTGTTTGGTGTCAATTTGGTCAAGCTTGCCATGCTTTATATAGCCTCTTTGCATTCTAGCTTGTTGGCTTCGGGTGTGTGAGTCATTAGCATGCTTCATTTGAGCTATTTCAGTGATTTGGCATCACTTGTCATCATATTTCAGTCCATGTTTCGTGGCCACGCACTTGCATTTATCACCTATTCTATGCTTTGGAGAGTTGTTGTTTCATGCTTCTTATTTGGACCATTGCATGTGCCTCCATGATTTGGTCTTTGGAAGACCTTCTCATTGGGTTTTGGGGTTTGTTTTGGTGTATTATAACTCTGATTTTATTTGCCTAAGTCATGTCATGTTCGGTTGTAAGAGGTGTAGTGCATTTGCCCTTTTGGGCCTTGTATGCGTCTTGTTTTATGCCCTTCTTTACAGCATGTTTTGGCTTTGTTCCATATGAGTTTTAGCTTCATTTTGGTCTACCTCGGGACTATTTTTAGTCGCTTTGACCATTTGGGGCTTGGTTGACATAGTCATGGTTCAAGTCTCGTAGCTACCTTTGAGCTTTAACTCCATTAACATGCCATGTTTGCATTGTGTAGTCGATTTGGCATCATTCTTCATATGATTTCAGAGTTTATTGTAATGCCATATTCTCATATTTATCACATCTCGCTCATGTTTGAAGGTTATGCATTGTGGCCTAATTGATGGACCAACATGTGTGCATGATTATCTCGCATTTTGGTGTCTTATTTCTGGTATTTTGGCCACTGTTTTGGGGCATGGCTGAGGCCTCCCATTCCGGTTTAAGTCCACCCTTGTACATGATTGCATGTTTGGCATGTTGCATCTTGTTACATCATTTGCATGCTTGCATTATATCATGTTTGCATGTTCTTATTACATTAGTTTAGCTTGCATGTTTGGTTGCATTGCATTATATCTTACATGCTTAGCACATTTTATATTCGCATGTTTAAGTTGCATCGCATTTGGCATGTTTCGCTGACTTAGCCCCATATTGCATACTTGAACCATTTTGCATATTTGAGCCATATTGCATACATACATTGCATTGTGTTTGGTTTGGGGTGCCAAACCAAACATGAGGTATGAGGTATGTTCGTACTTAAAGTGACGAAATATGCCTCAATCCTCGGTCGCCGACACTCTTGATCCCAACATGATAGAGTGTGTAGCATTCATTTGTTTTCGTTGCATTCATTTTACATTGATTTGCGAACTTGGCACCTTTGGCCATCATGCATCGAAATGCGTGATTGGTGGCCTGAGGACTGAAAGCCATGCTCCATTGAGTTTATTGCATGATAAGGAGAGTGGCTATGCACACATTGCCTTGAAAATACCTTGCCATGCACTGTCTGTCCTCTGTTGTAGCAAAACTAGTATTCTGCAGGAAGAAATGGCCGGTCGGCAATCTTCAGTTCCGACCGACCACAAAAGTTCAGCCGGTGGATAAACTTCTGGTCGGTTACCATATTTCCATAGCCCGTGGTCAGATATCTCGGCCGGTGATATCCCATAATTATCAGGGAGTAATTCAGAAGTATCCCAAGAATTTTCACAATTATCAGAGGTGCAGAACAGTGCAAACAGAGGCAACCGAGGCATGGCAACGGGTTTCCGAGCAAGACAAATCGAGCATGCATCATTCCATCATTCCGAGGCAGGACCGCGGCCACCTCCTTTTCTAATTAATTTGTTTAATTAGTTAGAGTTTTGTAATATTTAATTAGCTAGAGTAGTCGATTATTTATTTGGTCTGTATTATTTATTCGGACCCTCCATCGAGAGGGCGAATTTGTAAATAAGTGTGCGTGCGTGTGTGAATGTCTTCCAACCCCACGTCTTTCTCCCTTTTATTTACTAGCTTTTGATGGTTAGTTTAGGACATGTTTCAATTAGCATACTTATGCTCGCATGTTTGCATCATTCATCTGTTTTGCATACACCGGGCTCGACGCATCATGCTAACTGCATTGTGTTTCAATTCCAACTTGAATATATGTATCGAGTTGTCCCATTTCACATGCCATTCTTAGGGTAGCCGAGTCTATCTTAGTCGCATTTCGCATGCGTTGCATTAGCCATTGCTAATATGAACTAGGATCATGCATGATTACTAACTAGTTTCTTGTTTTGGCTCGGAGTACTAGGTAAGCTTTTATGCTTTAGCATCCTTGCATGCGTGTGAGTGTTAACATGAAAGCATGCTTGCCATGAGGCTAATTGCTTAGTTGATTTACTACCTGAATGCCTGTGGGTGAAGGTTGGGTTGCTTGAGTTGGAATAATTCGTTGAAACCCGTGTTTTAGCCTACTTATGAGTAGAAAATTTCAATCCATTTTCAAAACAAACGGGTATGCGATGCTTTGTTCCAAATTAGGCGATCTAGTCTATACTTGTGTATTGTGCGCATCACACAGTAAATTCTAGCTAATTAACTGGAATAAGAACACATATGTTTTCAAAATAAAATATCATGTTTAGTAGTGGCCAATCTTTGATCGGGCGAGCGGGGGTGCTCATAGCTGACCTTCCCCAATCGTACCCAAGTTCCTGAGCCGAGGCAACTTTGGTGATGACGGACATGTGGCCTTAGGCAGCGAGTCAGGGTTTCCAAAATTCCCCCAAAACAAAATATGTAGGTGGCGACTCTGTATCTGGCAAAGCAGTCCATGCTTGGCACTTCTTTTCTAAAAATCTGTTTTTCAAAACGATTTGTCGGATTTGGACTCTTTGGTGATTTATCAATCTCACATCGCACATTGTGAGATCAGATTAAGAGCCGTGACAATTTGAGTCCGAACTGTAGTGAGCCCAAATGAACAAAACGGGATTCCCTCCCGGGGCGTTCGGGGACGTCTACATCCGCCTCACTCATTTCCTTCGCTGTCGCTGGCTGCCTCCTCTTTCCTATTCTTCTTCTTCTCTCTTTTCTTTCAACATATATATGAATTCATTATATTGAAGAGAACATGGACAAAAGCAGTGATAAATGTATGAGCATTAAAGAAATGATACATCGGTGTGATTTTGAATCGGAGAGAGAGAGAGATTTAAACATCTCAAGTAAGAGTTTCGTGAACAATCGAATTCAATCAAACAAAGAACAATTGAAAATCAATCACAGAGAGAAGTAATTTAAGGATTGAAGAACCACCTAAAATGACCATGGCGAATCCACACACAGCATCGCAAATGTCCTTCCACGAATCGTCGACGATGTTCGTCGCTGGAAACCGGAAAATCACCGGCGATCAATCTAGCAAAGCTCTGGGAAAATATCCCCACGTTAAAAATGCATATTCGTTAGTATCCTTCATCTTCATACCTTCCTCTGTGCTTCTAGTTTTATTCATACCTTTTTTGAATCACCGAAAACAAAATCACAAATTTTTGGAATATGGTTTGGGTAGAGGCGAAGGGTGGTGGAGCGGTAACAAAGTGGCAGTACCGGTAGTGGGCTGATGGAGGTGGTGGTGATAATGGAGAACTAGGTTAGGGTTTTTTAGGTTTTGGGTGTAAAGAGAAGGAGAAGGACGAAGGTTAGAGAGAGGGTAATAAAGGAATTGTATAAATTATAAAAATATAAAATAAAAAAAATAAAATTTGAGGATGTAAAAGTTAAATTGATTGTATAAATAGAATCCTCAAAAAATAATTGGAAAAAGATGAGTTTTTTAGCTTAAAAAAAAAAAAACTCTTTTCTTTATTTATTTATACGAGTGATATAAATATATATATAAAAAAGAATCGGATTCTCTTGATAGACAGTTTGGGCTTAGTGGGCCTATTATGAGGCCGATCTCGATGATTCGAATTGTTGATGTTTTAGAATTCATTTAGTAAAATATTACTGTAAAAAATTAAAATGATCAGAAATTAATAGTTATATGTTTGAATCACATTTATTTTTAAAAAATAGATGACAATTATAATTTCAAAAGTAGGTATTCATTTTTTATATTGCAAATATGATTCAAATATATAGCTTTCGAAATTTGATTATCTTAAATTTTGACAGGAATATTTTACTCAATCAGTACTAAAAAATGAACGATTTATATCACTAAGATCGGCTCCAAAATATATCTACTAAGTCCAAATACTCCTTTAAATTGAAATAACCAACTTGAGAGAATTTAAAGCCCATTTGGGAACTATGGTTTTTTAGCTAAAGAATAAAAAAAATAAAAAGAATGACAATAAGTTATCATATCACTTTTTATTTTTTTACACATATTTTTACAAAAAATAAAAAAATTAATTAAAATAACAAATTCTCAAATGGGACCTAAATCTATAAAAAAAATATATAAATACTGATTCATCTCTAATTTTGCTCCATAACAAAATCAGAGACGTATCACCATCCAAATGTATTTAGTATTATTATGAAAAATTCTAAATATACATAAAATTTATATAAAAAAATTTAATAAAAATGATATGATAATGTTATTATTGTAAATAAATTTATCTTTAATAATATTTTATTTTGAATTAAAAGATTTGTAATAAGTCACTTCAATTATGTATGAATTATTATTATTATTATTATTATTATTATTTTATATAGCATTACTCAATTATTATTATTAAATATTTTTTTGTTTTTTTTCCAAATCAGCCAATTCAAACGGGGAGGGAAAGGCTACCGACTCTTAGCAAAGAAGCAAAAATGTATGTATCAGAGCTGGGGTGAGAGCTGAGTGGGAGTTTGCATTGAAATTTGCCAGATTGGAGAATACTCACCAAGCTCTCTTCTTCGCTATGTATAATCCCTCCTTCTCCACTCTTCCTATTTCTTCTTCTTCTTCTTCTTCTTCTTCTTCTTCTCCTTCCCCACCCCTAACCCTAACCCTAACCCTACTCCTCTCCCTCTCCCTCGCCTCACCTCCCGATCGACCTCCTGCACCACCGCCTCCGCCGCCATGGCGTCCTCCTCCGTCCAACGCCGCCAACGCCGCCGTCTCTCTGTAAACACCACCGCCAACCTCACTCTCACCGCCGCCGAAAAAGTGATCGGAGACGACGATCTGCTCAGCCGGATCCTCATACGCCTACCGGCGAAACCTCTATTCCGATTCAAGACCGTATCCAAGAGATGGTGCTCTCTCATTTCGGATCCTTACGTTCTTCAACGCTGGATTCCTCCGAAATCTCCTTCCTCTTTCTTCTTACGAAGGTATTCTCGCTTTCCTTACGATTTCAATTTCAATCACGTATCTCTCAATGGTCTTGTTAAACACAACCGTTCAATTGCTCCTCTATATCTCTATTTCTTCGATAACCGCCACCATGTCATTATTTCCAAGTCCTGTAATGGCTTATTGCTCTGCACTTCCTCTTTGCCCGGTTTGTATTATTGTAATCACAGCCATTACTATGTTCTCAACCCTACCACCCAGCAATATTCCACCATTCCTAGGCCTGTTAACGGGGATCAGTACGACCGCATAGTTTCCATCAACTTAGCATTTGACCCCTCTCTTTCACTTCACTACAAAATTATTGCTCTCATTTCCAGAAGAGACCGCAGCCCTGAATATCGAATTGCGGTATATTCATCCGAAACTCGAACTTGGGTGAATTCTGTACCCGTTATTTACCCATCAGATATGATAATTGCAAATGGTGTCTTCTCTAATGGTAAGATCCATTGGCTTCGTTGCCGCTCAAAAACATCAATAGCTTATGATATTGATCGAGATGAATCTTTCCCATTCCCAATGCCATATAGTCTCACAAAGTCCCCTGCGTATTTTGGGGAGTCTGGAGGTCATCTACTGTTCATTGAATCTATTCAAAATTGGGGTGATCAGTTTGATGTGTGGGAGTTAGAGAGCGACTATTCTCACTGGTTTGTGAAATATCATGTTGACCTTGAGATGGGTGCATTGGCTTTTCCAGGGATAACGTATGAAGTCGAAGTGCTTTGCTTCCTCGGAGGAGAAGTTGAAGGGGATTCATGCTTGATCTTCTACCTATCCTGTCAAGTCATATCCTATAACTTCAAGGATAGAAGTTTTAGGAAGGTTTGCAATTTGAAGCTGCGTCCTTGTGATATTGACAATATACAAATGCGTCCATCGGCTTTCATCCATCCATGCATGGAAACCATATTTAATGTTTGATGGCATTTCTTTGGAAAATAATCGGTGTTATCTCCATTTCAATGTTTCATTTGTTTCCTTTCTAGTTTTTTCTTCCTTCTAGTCAAGAATGTTTTTTCCCCTCTCTTGGTGTAATAATTTCAACAGTTGTAAGCTTATTTATGCCTTTTGCAATGAAATGGTTTTTAACATCAAGGATGTGTCATTTATGATATGTTTAATTGATTTTATTTCCTGTTTGATTAAATTTATATATGGCTTTTGGAATGAAATAGTTTTGTAACATCAACAATGTGTCATTTCTAGTATGATTGATTTTACTTCCTGTTTGAGCTTTTTGAGTTTCTAAGTAAGAACATAATTCAAACTTTGGCGAGGTGATGAAATGATGATGCATTTGCAAAGGCTGTGACCAATCAAAAACCTACGTTATCTTTACTATCGGTGGGTGCCAAAGCAATGATGAGTGAATGAAATACATTAAAAAACATGGTTGGACAATAATCAGAAAGAAGAATTAATGTATTAATGAAGTTAAACAAGTTGAAGACTTGAATAATAGGGTTTAGGATGCTTTGCATTTCCTCTTAAAGGGTCTCAGCATAGAGATGTAGAAATGATGTCATGTCAACATAAGATTTGTTAGTATATGTTCATCGTGATTATTGTTTGAATTTTATAATTCTGTTCTTGTTTCTCAGAAATGAAGCTGTTTATTGCCAATAACCTGCATTTCTTTGGCAACAAATCATTGATGCACCTCCCTTTTTCCTGTATTTTTTCCTTAGAATCTCAGTCACGTACTTGCTTTGTAGACATGACAAAGCAATAGACCTCTTCTCTTCATCGCTTTTATTTCTTCTTCTTCTTCTTTGGCTGGGAAGACAAAAGGGGACTTAAGCCTGTAACATCTAAGGTTCACAAAGCATCAGATTGTGTTTGGCCTATACGCCCAGTGATTTGCTGTAATAGATTTGAATTGTAATCTATGAACCTTCTCTCTCTTTTGCGATTTCTCTTTCGTCACTAGTTTTTTTTTTTTTTATTTCCTTCAAGAATATGGTCCTACGTTAATATTTCATTTTGTTTGTACCAAATTTAAAATCAATTTTGTTTTCAATTCCTTCCAAACTTTATTTTTTGTGACACGTCATATTTCTAACAGACCAAATATATAGGTTTGCTTCTTTCTAGTAGTTGTCAGTGATGACATTATTAAAAAAAAGGAAAAAAAGAAAGAAAGAATGATTGGTTGACTCAGATTTAGTTAAATTCAGTAGATGACACAGATTGGTTCTACTCCTCTTCATCCCTATTATTTTCCTACTTAAAAAGCTCGTATATTTTTCTTTTTTCTTTTTTTTCCTTCTTATTTTCAAGTTTAGATCTGTTTGTTTTAGTAAATGAATGTGTTTGTACTTATAATACGTGAGGTTGATTGTCAACTGTTTTCTACATGTTTTTTTTCTCTGCTGTTACTTCAAACTTCAAAGTATTGTGAGACTGTTCATATGGTTTTGGAGTGGAAATTCATATAAAATCTAATTCCTCCTATGCATGTTTAATAGATTGATTGAATAGTTAATGCCAATGACTAGTAAAACGTAAAATCTGGATACAATCATAGTAATCATTGTACTACCATCGTAAACCTAAAACTCAATTTCAACAACATTTGGAGCCTGTATTCTTTCGCGCCATTAAATTTGCAATTGAAGTCTTTATTAGGGTTACTTATGGTACCATCCAAACCTAATAACTGTATTTTTGCAAGAAGTCATCATTTTTTCTATTTTAAATTAATTTGCGTAACCTAAAACACCTTCCGTTGTGTTTGAGTCTTGTATGATACCCCTATTTTCTCTAAATGCTTTTCCTTGCCAAAAAATATTAACTTGACCAAGACATTTATTAGGTGATCTTGTGTAATTAAATGAATGACTACTAGGTTTACATCAACGTATTTCTACATGGTCTTGGGGGCTGAGTCATTGATCAGGGATGTTAAATAGCATGCTGCCGTTCTATATATAGTTTTCTTCTTTTATTTCTCATTTTTTCCTTCTTCCTTCTTTCTTTTTATGTTTTTCTTTCTTCACATATATTTTTTATGCCTGCATAGTTAATATCTTTGTTATGATTATATTGACTTTCTTTCCTTGACAAGAACTTTATACTTTTTTTTTAGTCATATGATTGTGTGAATATACTATTGTAGACATGTAGTTTACTATCTACTAGTTTAGATGTGGTTATAAAATTGATACAATGTGTTATCTTTAGTGGAATCTCCTCTTGTTGCTAAAATGGTGTAAGTTCGAGTCCTTGTTGGGATACGCATGTATGTTTCCCAAAGACCAAAAATGTCTATCGTTTGTTGTTTAGAGTGTTTCATTTCTCAAAGCAATGATAATTTGTTTGTTAGGTTTTAAGCACATCTGTGCTTCTAGACCCTGCAGCCAAGAACACAAAATCTGATAATGGCCGATTTTTCTTTGTAATAATCTATTGCCATATGTTCTTTCAAGTTTCGGATTTCAGATTTCAATTTCAAAGCTGGGGTGAGATCTTTAACCTAACGGATAGTGCAGTCATTTATGTTTTTTAGAGTGACTAAAGACATGTGAAGTCTCATTTAAAATTATTCATATGTTAGAATTGGTGTATTTCGGAAGGTAGGCAGTGAGTCAGTGACCTAACAACACAATAAAATCATCCCAGATTCCATTATTCTGTTACGCAGACTTTATAATTTGTTATATTTATAGTCTTGAGTGTTCAAAGTCCAATGCTTTCTTTAAGAGTTTGATTTTGCAACTTATATTGTTAGTTTCTACAATCTAGTTGATGTTGGAAAAACAAGAAGGAGAAAGGACTTGTTCACAATCCATTGTTTTTAGTATATGGTAGTTTAGTGATTTTATGGGTTAGGGATACATTTTTTATTGCAAAAGTTCTATTTTTTTTTAAAAATCCTTGACTAGGACTAGGTATGCTGTTATAGGAGTTTATAAAGCCATGGTTGTAGGAAATTTTTATCTTTACGAATTTGTGTAGTGTAGTTTCTATAAAAAAATTTGTAGTTGTAATGAAAGTTTTTCCTGGTTAAAGCATGATTGTTGAATTATTCTACTGACTCGAGTGTGGAACTGAAGCAGCCCCTACGGAGTAAGGTACTTTTCTCTTCTATTTTTTCTATTGGCTGAATTTCTGTTCATTCAAATTTTTCGAACCGGCCTTAATCATCAGAATCTGAACTTATCTCTTGGAATCCATTTTTTTACAAACTGATCACTATTTTTTTGTTTTAATATATACTAAGCAGTCCTTCATCACTAGTAGAGTGTGTATCACCCTTTAAAGGTAGAGATGGCATGCAATTTTGATGGTGGTAGTGCTGTCGGAAGGACTGCCAGCGTTAGGTGGTTGAGGTGGTGTTCTTTTGTTAATTGTAGTGCTTGTGCTCTTGTGATGAAGGTTGTCAACTTGAAGTTGAGTAGAAGCGGAGGCAGAGGAATTGCAGCTTAACATGATTGTGGTGGTGGTGGCATCAATTGCCTTGGTGGCAATGGTGGTGGTTGTTCAAGTGGCCATGGTATTGATGGATTTCTTTTCTAATTGAAGCTACATTACATAGCCAACCAATCCTTGTGAACTTTGTGTAGTTTCTATGATAAACTCATGGTGTTATTATCAGCGACTTTTCTGATCTCTAGTTTCTCTTAGACAATTATTTCATATGTATACATTAATTTAATTTCATTTTCCTTCATGGTATATATTACTTAGTTAATTATTTGTTTTCCTTCCATGAGTGACAATTTTATGTCTATCAACGGATATTTCCTTTATTTTGGCAAAATTGATGTCTGTTATCGAAGATCTCATTTTATGTTGTTGAGATTCGAATTAGAGCAGAATTTGGTTATCAAGACTTATTAAAAGAGAACAGTTGTATTGTATTAATTAGCAATCGTGTCTGCTAGGAATAAATGGATGAAACCTCTGTCTGGTAAACAAAAACACTAATTTAGTCAGTTTTATTTTAATTTTCTCTGCCTTAGATTTGTACTTTACCCTTCTATAGGTTGTATTCCTTTTCCATTTCCTTTTTGTCTTTTAAATTCGTTGTCATGTGAAAATCATTTTATGCATTTGATGGCAATCCTTTTTTCATTAAAGAGCTTTATTCTAGGAATGTGCTACATTAATGAGGAAGATTAAACTCATGCTACTAGCGTAGCTTTGTTAAAGATGTTTGCTTCATTAATATCTTTCATGAGTTGGTTGGCAATCAGTCTGTAAACCTTGTACTTGTGAAAAGCATTGGTCATAGATAGAATTAAGCATTTGACAAGAAAACAAACCTTCATACATGTATATTTATATATATGAGGGAGAGGGAGTGAAGATGGCAGGAAAGCACTTGAACTGTTGTCATTAGCTATTCTTTCAGTTGATGCTATGCTTTCTTCTTAGTTTTGTGGACCTTAATGGCTATTGCATTCTCAATTGATATGCTCAGAATCTTGAAAGACGGATTTATTTCTTCTAAATTGTGCATGATATTTCATTTCTTCTTCAAAACTAAAAATTTAGTTTTTTTGCTTATGTTACAGGATTATTGCATAACTGCTTATGAGCCAAAGATATAGGCTCATTTACTGCATAACAAGTAAGCGAGTAACTGGCATTACTTCACAGGTTCAGTCCTAGAGCTGCTACTTGTGCAAATGAGCTTCTATTTCTACGTTGAGCTTATATGTCTCTATATCTCTTTGTTTAGATATGTGGTTGGCAGAGAAAGTTTTGTATTCCACACCAGTTTCTGTTATTTTTTTTTTGATAACAAGGAACCCTTGACTCCACCTTCAGTGAGACCTGGGATATGTGTAGCCTCACATATCGGGCAAAGTTCAACATAAAACCTTCTGGTTATTTACTTGGGGACTTACCATTTGAGCTAAACCCTTATGGGTATGAATTCCATACCAATTAGTGTATCATTTTGTCAACAGAAT